TGCTGGAACAGAGCACTTCACTGTGCACACTAGGATCGGTGAGTTAAAAGAAATGACGGAAATGTCCAATAGGCATGGCACCATCTTGCACTGCAGCTTTTGCCATGGGGTGAAGTCCCTCCAAAAGCTCATACGAGCTGATAATACTGGCATCACTTGGTGCTACACAAGATTAGCATAACACTATTTCTGTTGTATCAACTGCGGGGCAATGAAAATAGTAAGAACATGCCTCATGTCTTCCTACTCTCTGTCAGACCAGAGTCCTAGAAGACGCAAGCCTATCCTAGGATTATAGTCCATTTGTCTCCATGTGTATTTACAAAGTTTTCAACATGCCTTCATTGAAATTAATGGTGTAGAAGGCATGAGAAAGCATCATAGCAACCCTAAATGCCTTTAAATAAGGCTCCTAAAATGGAGAAATTCAGTATTTAACACTTGCCTGTAGGCAGAAGTTCTGGTTTTAGTCTTTTCACACCTGCCATAACAGGGTCCTGGAGAACCCAGATCAGTAGTGAAATTAACAGTACTGTACTATTAAAATACTAAAAAGAACAACTCATGCTGCAACTCAAAGTCACTGCCAAAATAGGCAAGTGAGCATTCAGCTGAGGCTGTGCCAGAGAAGGCTGAGTGAAAGAGGAAATTGCAGCAGGCCTCTTTAAGTAAGTAGAACTCCGAATTTATAGTGGACCAAGGCAGGACAACCTCACTATGGACATATTTCACTGCAAGCTACATCAACTTTCCTATGAAAATTTAAAACAATACTCTGAACTTCAATAGTCAAAAACTTTATAGTGCATTCTGGAAAGCTAAAAGACAGCTGGCTAAACACAAATGGGCTTTGTGTTCACTTGCTAGAATCATTCATATGCGGGTTCAGCAAACTGTTGTGCTGAAACCCCAGCAAACTGGAAGACTAGGCAGCATGATGCCTCAAAAGTAATTCTGAGCCCACTACAAAGACATTTAAAACACCTGTGTAATGGGTTAGATACAGTATAAAAGTTCCAACTTTGCTGAAAACTTTTGTATCTCCTGAGGTTTATTAAGTACAGGTTGAGCTGCACCCTGACCAGACAAGTGTGGTCTATATAGGTGTACTACTTTTGGAGGTTTTCTGGTCCTCCAAGACAACAGGCATAAGCTTTGGAATTAATGAAGTATTGATCTACTGTCCACCCTGCATTTTATTTTTTTTTTTAATTTGTGAAAACCTGTAATTCTGAAAATGGTAACCAAAATATTGCTTGTATCACTCAGTTGTTTACTGCAGGCCCAATCCCAAAAGCTAGTGGTTGATGGGGCACATCACCTGCTGATGTAAGCCAGCATGGTGCCAATAATATGCCAGTGGAGTAGTGCCAATTTACATCAGCTAATAATCTGGTCATACTGTCACAAAAGAAGCTGGGGGCATTTAGTTCTTTTCCACATCAGGCTCTGTTATATATTGATTTGCATGGCACAGTATGAATGTATGCATGTTTTTACTTTGATTTGTTCTGCATTGAGAGATTATTTCATAGATGCGATCCGAGCATCCTCAATGTTGTAAATCACTATGGTACTCTTCAATTAATTTTTTGTTTCCCCTAGTTCTTGAAGTGTGCTGAGACACCACATACAAAGCCAGCAAAATAAGTTAAGTGACCACTAGATTAATCAGGAAAGAAACTGTTCTGTGCTCCTCATGACATTCTGTAATTATCCAGCTGCATAAATGTTTTGGGGTTTTTTTTATTGCTAGTAACTGAAATAAGACTAAAGTAGTCCTTGTCCATGGACCATAAACAGAGTACAATAGTGCACCAAAAGCACATAGTACACAGATGCAGGACATATAAATTAGCTGTTTCATTTGGATAAATGGTGATCTGATTTCACCCTTTTCCTGCCTAGCCAGCAATCAAGTATATAGATATATTTCCTAACTGAGAAATTAATCATGTTTTATATGTTCTGAAAAGCAAGATATATTTGAGTATTTGTAACTGTTAATATCTGTCCATTAGACTGTTCTATGCCATGTCTATTCTCCTTTCTATTTATACTGGCATTGATCAGCTTGTTCACTTCCAGTTTAAATGATTCAATTCTGATTTGATTGCCATGTAATTTAAATGCAAATAATTACTGTAAGGATAACATTTAGAAAAACAGCTCTGCTAAGCAGGAAGGTCTTTATTAGGCACAGGAGTTTGACAGCAATATCAGAAGCACCCCTTTGACTGTAAGATATGGGAACCTATCATTTCAGTTCTTTCAGAAGATGCTCTGATTTCCCTCTGACTCCCCTTAAGTAAAACTCTTCTGTACCATCATCATGTTTGCTATCAGGGTAGAGCATAGACCACTGAGTGAAAGGAAGAGGGGAGAGGAATATTTTTAATTTGGTTTTAGTTCATAAGGTTGTGCTCTAGATAACTGAAGTAAAATTACCCTCTTGTGAAACCAAGTTTATATTTCATACTGCACCCCAGTTCTGAGCCAGGGTCTCAATGAATTAACACTGAAAAGTGTTTCACACAATGAAAAAACAGTAGATAGAGGGAAAAACCCTCTTACTTTGTAATAATCAAAAGCAGCTCATTTTTCCCTTCTTTCTCCTATTTTTTAGGGTTAGACTGTTGCTTTATCAGCTCTGCCATGTATGAGAAGTCTGGAGATACTGGACTGCCTGAGGACAGAGTTCGGACTGAATTACAGTCTCACTGTCTTTTTTAAGTGTCTCTACAACAAGGTATTTTTTACATGCTGGCTGTCCTAGCAAATCCAAAGAGATTTTGGTGAGAAGCACCAATGAGGAGGACAAATCCTGACTCCGCCCATTTCCTGGCATAGCAGCATCTTCAGTTTGGGCTCATCATCTCACATTCAACTCCTCATCCATCACAGTCAGCAGACTTCAATGAGACCATTTGAAATTTAGGCCTCAGTAGTGAGAGCTGCATAAACACCAGGGTAAGACATGAAAGAAAAGGGATTCCATGCTATTTCTTTTCTTGCAGCACAGAAACCATGTCCTTTCACCTCAACACACATCAATGACCCAGTGTTTGGTAAAGTGTCTCCATTAAAACTTCATTGCTCCTGTTAAACGTAAGAACACCCCAGGGATCTTGATTTTAGCATGGCGTCTCACAAGATGCATTCACAGTATTTCAATTTTGTCCAAAGGCTAGTTATGGCAGAGGTTGCATGTTTGGCAAGTATCAAGAGACCACTGCCTTCCTGAAGTCACTATTTGTGTCTAGAAGTGGTCAAAGTCAGACAAAGCAGGTCTGAATGGACCACTCTGCTATTTGCCTTGTTGCCTTCTCTCAGGATACTGAACTTCACTTCACAGTCAGTGCGGTCAAGTCGGCCCCCAAACTTCATTCCCAAACAGTTCTTCCTTGTTTGTAAGTATCAGGTCCAATAGAGCATCTTCCCTCATTGGCTTCATGGCTACAGTGCCTTCCCCTTGTTGGATTTGTGTTCACAGAGCAGGAAGGCAGAAGAGTAAGGGATTTATTTGCAATATGGAGATCCCAAGTTTGTCTCCTATACTAAAATTCAGGCTCATAGGCAAAAACTAGCCTGATCTCAGAGAAAGATTTTCCTCACATTTAACATGACACTTCTGCTTTTTTTTTTTTTTTCCTCTCCTGGTAATCATTGAGACAGCAGAATTGCCAGGGTCTTGCAGTCCCCCACTATGGCTCCAAGTGAATGCAGAAATTTAGCCCATGAAGTTTCTCTAGCTTCAAAGTCTACAGAGTAAAAATTATCAATATACTTGCTGATGTTTTAGACTAATGACAAGTTCATCTTGCTTTGAAAACTTCATCAGAGATACTAGTAAGAGTGTTCAACACAGTTGTAATGCCTGACTTTCATATTGTTTTAATGTCTTTAAGAATCAGAAAAAAACCTTATTTGCTTTATTAAAAAGGAAACATTCACTGTGAATGTTATTTTATATCACTGAATGACTTTGAGCCCTCAAAATTTGGATACTGAGCTAAGAGCACAAGAGAGTTAAATTGCTCTATATAGAGAACAGAGGTAGGTTGGGTGGTTCAGCAAGGATTCCCTCAAGCCCTCAGACCTGAAAGATTTTTCCTAGAACAAGATAATTCCCAGTTTTTGCTGACTCACATAGTAGTTTAATCATTATAGTTTGAACAGTATAGTTCATTCAAAAACATACATAACCAGATCCCCTTGCTGATGGTGGTATAAACTGATACAACTCAATTAAGTTTAGCTGAATACCAACGTTCACCAGATAGGGATGTAGAAGATGGGGACGCAGGGGGTAGGGAGCACAACAGCAGCAAATCTAGCCCCTACAGCTTTTCACCAAAATCTGGGCAGATTCTTCTGGTATTTTCTTTCATGCTTTCTTGCATCTTTGTTTTACTTACATTAGCAATTATAAGCCTTCACTGACTGCAGGGACACCTCGTGGTGAGGACAGGTGAAAACAGCAGGCTGACATTCAATTAATTAAACCAAGCAGCAAAAGACAGAGAGATGTTTCTGTTCCTTGGGATAATCAGAATTTCACAGGCACAGACTTCCACTCCCACTCTGCTTCTGGGGCATACATTAACACACCCAGAACAGAAAACACTGACACAGCAACTTCAAGAACAAAGGACTGAGTCGTCCAGCAGACCTGAACTGTCCAACAGTCAACTTATAATTATTAACTATTTTGTGTTCCAGTGGCTACAAAAGTGGCCAATTCAACTTGACACTCAGTTGAAGCAGCAGTCCCCAGAATGGCTGTTACAGCTTTCCCCCATCCTCCTTTGTTTAATGTGCCAGCAAAATGCATTTCAGTGACTCACTGCAAAATTTCTTCCTGGGATTTTCATTTTTTATAAGGCATGCATATGTGTACGATTTTTAACAGGATTCCCTTTCTCCCTATTGCATCTACACTATGGCACTATCTCTGCAGCACCTGATCCATTACATAAGAATTATATCAGCTTGCTTACCCAGTGCAGTGACCCAATGCAGACCTTGGCAGCCAGAAGAGGAACGGTGGGATCTGTAGGTCGCAGTTTAGCACACTCTTTGAGCACTGACACAGCATATGCTGACTGGAGGAGGAGGAGGAGGGGGAGAGAGGAGGAGGAAATAAAAAAGGCTGATTAGACAATGCTGTTACAGAGTACAAGCAAGATGTTTCAGTGAAATGTACAAAGAAGTGTCCTGAAGTAAAGAATCATGTCAGCAACAAGTTAGCAACTGTATTCCCACCTCCACACACAGACACATGTGTGTGCACATGTACAAGCAAACACATACTCTTCCCACGCTCAAAAGGACCATGCCAAAGAACCAGCCCTGGCTGTGCACTTTAAACAGTTTTCCTCGGCTGTTAATGCACTGGTTATTTTAACTCTGCCCTCTCAATTCACAAGAATTCTGCTATAGCTTTCCTTGCACACAACCATCTTCCAGTAAGCCAGAAAAGATCATAAAGAGCTTATCCTCCAGCACGTTAACATTTTAGGCCAACTCTACTCAGAGAGAGGTTTGGGCTGCTAAAGTAATCTGCTCTGTAGGTTGTTTTGTGTCTTCTCCAGTTTCAGAGTATACAAGAATACAACTGGGATCCCACCATACAGAGGGTGGAGCAAGCAACTGCAGAGCAATACACTTGTTCAGTGGGTGGTCCGAGTAGCATGTGTTAGAAAGAAAGCCCATGAAACCCTTGCTGTCTTTCTGGTGTTAGGTTACCATTAACGAATGATGTTTATTAAGATTAGCAGTTACATAGCCCCTTTGATTCAATATGCTCTACATACATTGCTTTTTACAGAACATATTCATGGCTGCCACATTTCAGAAGGTTTAAAAAAGGAGATGAGGAAAGCTCTGGTCTGAGATGCTGGTGAGAAGGTCTGGTCAGCCAATGAGGAGGTGACAGAAGATGCCCTGCCACTCTCTCCCAGACCACCCCACCTGGACCACAGTTTCTTTCACATTTCCAACCCTCCTCACTACTGATCCCCGATCCCCCCAAATTCTCTCATCCTTGAGCTCAAGGGGAAGTTTTCTTCTTTCAGAATTTCTCCTTACATGCCCCATTCCTCCCAAACTCTTCCACACACAGGCCTCTCTCACTCAGCATTCCCTCTCAGAAGCACATTAAAAAGTCATGGCCTTTCCATATTACAGGAGTGCAGCAACAGAAGCTTGCAGAGTCAAACTAACTGCTATTCCTATCAAGTCCTGGGCATCTCCTCCTGACCCTGACCCCCAGGGGCTCTCCCCACCAGACCTCTGACCAGCACAGGCAGCTGGGTCTGGTGTCTGCTCTAATCCCCCACAGCCTCGCACTGCAGCTTCATGCTCCCACCGGCCATCAGCACTTCCCCTCCCTCACACCACACCAAAACATGCTGCGCCTGCCACCTCCTTTCTCCACAGAACTGAAGGTCCACTTCTTATGGGATTCAAAAGCCTGGATGGGAATTTGCTTGGAAGGGAGCCTGGCAAAAGGTAAAACCAGATGTACAGCAGCCCTGCCTGTGCTAAGGCAAAGACGGGTTTCATAACCAAAGATGCAAGGTCTGCAGCAGCAGAGAGCAAACCCTCCTGCTTGAAAAGCTTGGTTACCTGCTGTGTAGTCTGAAGAGCAACAGTGTGCCCTACATTCTCCAGGCTGCTCCCACCTACCTAGATCATCAGGTATCATCAATAAAAGTAAGGAAATATTTGCTATTTTACAATTCCAAATGCGCAATTTGCCTAAAGCCAGAAGGAAGCTTGTCTCAGAGCATGATGTGATGTGATTCACAAAGATGTGAATCAATAAACTTTGTGCTAGAGCTTAAACCATTACCTCACCCCTCTCAGAAATGAAGACTTGGGTAATTCAACCCTGAGGTACAGGAAGAAACACATCGCTGCGCTCTGCTGTCATGAGGTGACTAGCATCCCTCAGAATGAGCCTCCCTGACTCCTATTTGTTCAGAACAAGTAGTGTCTTAGGTTTTAATGGCATCTTATTCCTCTCTCTCACAGAACACTACCTGCACTGCAGGCAGCTAGTATTCCCAGTAGCACTGCTGGATGTGTTGGAAATGTAAGCATAACCCCATAAGGGTCCTAGCCTGGCACATCATCTTCCTGCCCTCCTGCCTATATTCCAGCCCCACAGCTGTTTCCAGACAAGAGAAATCTAAAGAGTAGAGCAGGACAACATGCACCTTGCTGGTCAGTGTATCTGCAGCCAAACCCCCCCAACCCTTGTCATCTCACCATGCAAAAGTGAACTGAAAAGGTCAGGCATGTAAAAGACCATACACGGTCCAGTGCCAACACTTTCAGAAACAGATACAAATTGAGCCCGGTGGTGGTTTCTCAGCTCCCCATCAGCAGCACGACTGCAGGGAAAGCAGGAGGCACCTGGGAGCTGGTGACAGCTGCCTGACAGGCCAGCACAGCCAGCACTAACACAAACCAGAGCAGTGAGAGGCCTGTCCTAATTTGGGCTACGGCTGTAGGACCTTCCAGGGTCTACACCAAAAGAGAAGCGATACAACACTCTTCCTTGCCAATTCCTCTTGAACTCCGCTCCCTCCCTGTCTGCAGCCTGTCCATTGAGTAAGGCTGGTCCTCGGGACAAGCCAACCCTGCAGACTCCAATAGCCTCAAACTGCAGAGCACTTCTCATATCTGTCCTGGGGCAACTGCAAAACAGTGAAAACTGAATGCTGCAAAGCAGAAAGTCCCACCCTGTGCCTACACCCAAACACCTCATGCATGGAGTCACTTTATCACTTGCACTCAGGAGCTTCATGGATTTACAGAGCGAGAGCCACAGTTTCCACACTGCTGCTAAAACATTTACAAAGTTATGTCATTTTAAAGAAGTTTATAAAATTTGCAATTAAACATATGGAGCAGAAGTGGTTTTAGAAACAGGGTGACATAAAGCCTTTCTCCCCAGCCGTGTTCTAAAAAATTCAAGACATCTATATAATTTCACCTTGAAAACTTTACTCAGCGGAAATCATATACAGATGATGAAAACATTAGCCAATATCCCACTCCCATAGTGACCTTACTTAGGGGAGACTGGTGTGACATATAATATCAAGGTGTTTTAAAGATATTAATTACAGACATTAATAGGCAGGGAACAAGTATCATCCACTCAGTATTGAATACAGATGCCATTGGTTTGTAAAAATATTTAATATGAAACAGTGTTTGTGTAACATTGAAATAATCTGATAATTAAAATATACGTATTCTTTCACTTAGCGTGGGTGGACCAGGCAGCCAGGCACATTGTTTGTGAGATTCACTGCAAGGCAATAATAATTAGATTTATTGGTGAGGCATGTTTTGAGAAGAGCAGAGCTTGAACTCCAAGTGAGTGCATGCTTCCTACTCATAATTCCGAACTTCAGAGCCAGGCTTTAAGTTCTTTCTGTTAGCTTGCTAATTGCTGGATTGTAACAACTGCACTGGAACCAGTTCCCAAAGACTTCAGAAAGCTAGGGATTTGCCTCTGGGTCTCATTTGGCCTCTTTCTGGGAAAAAGGCTTTTAAGTCCCCCCAAACACACACAAACCCGTTAAACAGGTATGGTTTAAAGAAACAGCAAGCTTGCCAACAGCTGCTCCATGGGGGTTTCAACTTTGTTTATGGGAGGTCTAATGTAGGAGTTCTCAGCCTTGGGATCCTCATCAGGTTTAAGCAGATTCATGACCATTCTCCCTTTGTTACAACCAACAAAGCACAGAGCTCAAATCAGGTTATAGAGTGAAAACACTGCTTTAATGGGAATGTTCAGCCATCAAAAAAAAAAAAAAAAGGTGAACTGTGTAAGGGGCTTAAGAACTTCCATTACCTGCGTTGGGCATCTCCATCCTCCACATACCAACAACTCTGTGTTTTTTGCAATGGAGACAAGGAACAACACAGCACTACTGTTCCATATTTAAATCCAGTATCTACAGGAAGCTGGTTTTCTCCGTCTTCATCCCCTAATCTACTTGCATACAGTATTTTTCTTCTGCAGAGATCACAAACATACTCCACAATAATTTATGAAAAGAAAATTAGGAAAGGCAGTTTCTGGGAAGTAGCAAGCAATACTGACAAATGGCTGCTTTCAATACAGACTTCCAAGAAAGCTCTATGTACCACATCCAACACGGGGGTGGCACTTCTCGATCTGCAGCAAGAAATCACAAGGAAGCTACGGGGAAGGATGGAGAGGACACCTCCCTGTAAGTAATTAAAGCAGCCATGGTTTTGAATCCTATAAGGCAGTAAAATGTAAAGAAAAACTTCTATCCAAATATAAAACATAACTCCCATTCCTCATTTACTAATTATATAATGAAGCATGCAAGCATACTCCTCAAAGATGCTTGCATGAGCTACACAGAATGAAGAATAGTCTAGTTAATTCTCTTCCTTACTTTTCCAAAAGGCTCAAGAGATCTTGCCATCAATTACAGTAAACACATAGATGCTGCCCAAATGCTGGTTTCCCTAGCTCACTCCAACACAATTTTCATTCTTTCCCCTCTTCTCTCCCACCATACCAAAGCAACAAAAGAACGATGTCAGAGATTTGATTCATATTTAGAAGATAAAAAAACCACAAATGTAAGTAAAAGGAAGAAGAACTTCCAGTCAGTAGATCATGCCAGGCAGACTTGACACACCACAAACAGTTGCTCTTCTCTTGTAAAGGTTCCAAAAACCTTTCTACTTTTTTGCTTCTTTGCTAATACTTTTCAGCCAGAGGGAAAAATGTTCCTCAAGGTTGTGGTTTTGGTAGACAGCCTCATTCCCAATTCACTGGCCAGTTTAGTACACAGATAAATCTCCACAACTACTACTGCTTTATTTCTAGCATCATTCTGTCTGATTTTAAAAACTGCACTATTTCAAAGGGATTGTGGGGAAGCGGGGGGGGAATCCTTCACCATTATGCAAAAGTCAGTATTCCCTGTACCCTGGGATTCACAGCCATCTAGCTATAAATGACCTTGAGCCAACACAGGAAGATAACAGAGTGAGCCAGCAATTGAGAACTCTAGAATTAGTTGTTTTGGTGTTAGCTTTC